TCTTACAGAGACTTATCTGCACGCATAGGAACCCTCGGGAAGGATGAGGGACACTCCAAGCATCTGCTACACTGATGACCACCAAGAGGGTCCCAGCTCCGAGTACCTTAGCTTAGTACGTTACAATGACCTGGACTTACCCACCCTTGGGCCCTGGGCTTTAGGGGTCTTTGGAATAATTAAAAAAATACCATCGGATGAGGCAAATACAGGCTAGAAGTTTTGAAAGATCTAAGCAAGCATGCGAAGTCCCATACTCTATGTCAGGAGTGAGCAAACTATTTTTTTCTGCCAAGGGCCAAATAATTACCCTTCTCAGCTTTGTGGACCGTTTGGTCTCTGTCTTAACTTGACCTCTATGTCCGTAGCAAAAGCAGCCACAGCCCTTATGGGAACCGATGGGCATCACCATGTTCCAAGAGAAGCTGATTTATAGGTATAGAAATTTGAATTTCATATAATTTTCATGTGCTGTGAAGTATGCTTCTTCTTGATTTTTTTTAAACCACTTAAAAACCATAAAAATCATTCTTAGCACAAAAAACAGACAGGAGTCTGGATTTGGCCCAAGGGCTACAGTTTGCTCACTAGGAATCAAGTAATATTCTTTTGTGAGTGTGTGAAAAACATTCATAGGGAAATTGCTAACGTTTGAGCATTTTTGACTTAAGAAGTGGCCGTATCATATGATTCAGCCTAGTAGTATTGTAACTTGGAGGTCAACTGAGTCAGGGGCTTGTGAAACCTTTCACCACCTGTTATACAGGCAATTAGACAGACATGAGCAGAGCAGGAAAATGGGCCAAGTACAGAAACTCACCAGAGCGGAAAGCCTCGGCGCCTAGCAAGGGGCAAAACTGGGAAAACAAGAACTTCGACCTCAGGGTAACCTATCCTCCCCTAGCCCAGAATAGCAAAACCAGACAAGTGACCCCTTGGCTGCCTCAGGACAGCTACATTGACTAATGACCCCCTTCCTGGCGCTGACCAATCAGTGGAGACCACGACCCTGTAAGAGCACACATGGAAAGCTGATAAATATTCTATTGGTTGTTTTTCTGGGCCTGGAGCTGAAATATAACTGAGGCCTAAATGTTACCTTTAGGGAGGAAAAGGTCAGGGGAGTTTAAACCAAATGACCAGCCATATGCTAGGGGAGGAAAGGTTACCCTGGGGGTGAGATTCTTGTTTTCCCTGTTTTGTGCCTTGCTAGACATCCAGGGCTTTCTGCCCTGGTGAGTTTCTGTACATGGCCCTTTGTCCTTGCTCTGCTCATGTCTGTCTAACTACCGATATAACACACCCAGCCGAAAAGCAGTGACAGGGATTGGATTATTAGTGCGCATTTAATATCAGATACCAGAAATCTGGGAAGGTGACGGGTGAAAACCCTAACATCCTCCTTCCCCTCAAACTTGTTAGGAGAAAGCTTATAGAAGGGAATCAGGGAAAAGGAATGTGCGTAAATAGTACAAGGGGGTTCTGGTGATTTGCAGTCCTGGAATCTGAGTGCCTGTGGGGGTCTTGGGTCTTGATGAATGCCTTCCTTTCTGGTCCCCAGAACAGGATGGTCAGCATTCTGAAACTGGAGCAGTGACCGTGTGTGTGTCATCCTGGTGTTTCTGAGGCCTAATGGATCACCCTCTGCATTCCTGGTGGCCAGGCCTGGAAGTTCAAGACTGAGTTAAAAGTCTCTTTGTGCTTGCCTAGTCAATTGAGAACTGTGACAAATCTTAGAACATAAGGTTAAACATATACAGTTAATTAATCAATTATATATTCTGTTAGTAAAAAGGGAGAGAAAGATAAGAGAAAGGAAGAAAAGGGGAAAAACAAAGCATATTTTTATTTTACCCTTGTATCCCTATCAGTATGAATCCTTAAATATGATGTTTTTGTCAGTACTCACGATATAGAGCAGAGGAGGTAGGAAGAGCAGGTGTTGATCTTATCTTGTCCAGGGGACTTGTCTTGTTCTGTGATAATCCAAATAATCCTTGCTCCTGTCCTTACGTAGGATATAAATCCAAGTTACCTGGATTTTAATTGTCCCACTTAAACCCTTTGAGGGCTGATGTTGGCCATGAAAGCAGATGCCTCCAGAATTTAGCAAAGGATTCCAACTCAACCCGCTTGCAATGAAAGTGATAAGGGCAAATCCTTTTCCCAGTGCCTGGTTATCCAACCCACCTACCTTGAAGGAGTGATATTCCCAAATTTGTGGCAAAGTTGTCTGCATTTCTGAGTTCATCTCCAACTTCAATATGAAACTCTGTCTAGTCATATGGTGGACATTTTTCAGGTCATCATCAAAATAGAGCATCCTGAAAACTTCCTTATTCATTCCAAATTTGCCACAGTCTTGGACTCCTGGGATTCTTATGGTCTGTGCTATTTCAGTCTCTCCTTATTCCAGAGAATGCACTGGTTATTAAGAGGCTAGACATGTACTTCCCAGTACCATAGCCACTGGCCATGTGTAGCTACTGAGCACTGGAAATAAGGCCAGTCCAAATGCAAACAGGGTTTCAAAGACTTAACACACACACCAAAGAATGTAATATACTGTATGAATAATTTGTTTTATAGTGATTGTGTGTCTAAATGATAACATTTTGGCTATAGTCGGTTAAAAAAGTATATTATTGAAATTACTTTGACCTATTTCTCTTTATCTTTTAAAAATTAGTGGAGCCCAGCTGGGCGTGGCTCAGCGGTTCAGCGTCAACCTAGGATCCAGGTGATCAGGGTTCGATTCCTGGTCAGGGCACATGCCTGGGTTTCGGGCTTGACCCCCAGTCAGGGGCGTGCAGGAGGCAGCTGATCAATGACTCTCTCATCATTGATGTTTCTGTCTCTCTCTCTCTCTCCCTCTCCTTTTCTCTCTCTGAAATCAATAAAGATATATTTTAAAAAAATAAAAGTAAAAATAAAGATTAGTGGACCTAGAGAGTATTATGTTAAGTGAAATAAATCAGACAAAGAAAGACAAATACTGTATGATTTCAATTATATGTGGAATCTAAAAAGAAAACATAAACAGACCCATAGATACACAGAATAAACTGATGGTTGCCAAAAGGGAAGGGGGTGAGGGGATGAGAACTTAAAAAATGAGCTTATTAGAAAATTTAAAAGGAACTATGTGGCTTACATTATATTTCTACTGAACAGTGTGGACTGGCCAAGCTAGACTGTTGCAAACTTGGCCTTTTGGTGCTAGACTTGGAGAAAAAGCTTCAGGAGCTGCTGGATTTTCAGAAATTGGGACACACACCTTGTGATATTGTGATTTATAATAAGATATACATATTTGGTCTTTGTTCCTGATTTTGGCACAGAGCTTCTAAACCCTTGGAATTTCCTGTGATGAAGCCTTTTGTTATATTAATGAAGTGACTTTTGGAACTCACATAAGGAAGGGGGCTCATTGACAGTGGAGCCAGTTGAGTTGGAACTTTATTTCTTACTTTATTTAATAATTTTTATTTTTAAATTACAGTTGACATACAATATTGTGTTAGTTTCACGTGTTCAGCACAGTGATCAGCACAATTATATAACTTATGAAGTGATCACCCTGATAAATCTGGTACCCACCTGGCACCACACTTAGTTATTACAATATTATTGACTATATTCCCTATGCTATACTTTATGTCCCCCTGATTATTTTGTAACTACCAATTTGTACTTCTTAATCCCTTCACCTTTTTCACCAGTTCTCCAATGCCCCTCCTATCTAGCCACCATCAAACTGTTCTCTGGATCTATCATTTTGTTTGTTTGTTAATCCTCACCAGAGGATATTTTTTCCATTGCTTTTCAGAGAGAATGGAAGAGAAGGAGGGAGCGGGGGCGGGGGGGGGAGCGGAGAGAGTGAGAAACATTGATGTGAGAGAGATACACTGATTAGATGCCTCCCGCATGTATCAGGACCAGGGCCAGGGATTGAACCTGTAACCCAGGCATGACCAAGAATGGAACCCACAACCCTTTGGTGTGTGGACCAACGCTCCAACCACTGAGCCACACTAACCAGGGCTCTCCCAGTTTTTAATCACCACATGTGGGTGTGGGACCAGTCTGCTTTGTGTCTCCACCCTTCCTACCAGTGTCAGTGTAGCTTCTTCTTTATATCCTTAGTTGTAGGACTTCTGTTCAGCTGGACTTTAGATAGTTCTCAATGATGGTTGTTCTCTCGTTTAGTTGTAATTTTAATGTGGTCAAGGAAGGAGATGAGTACTACGTTTACCTGCACCACCATTTCGACCATGAAACTTACAGTTTCACCCTGATTACAAGGGTAGGGAGAAGGGCTGGAGGTTGAATCTGTCACCAATGACCAATTAGTAATCAATCATGCCTATGTAATGAAGCCTCCATAAAAATCCAAAAGGAGGGAGTTTGGAGAGCTTCCGGGATGGTGAACTGTTGGAGGTGCTGTGAGAGTGGTGCCTAGAGAGGACATGGAAGCTCAGTGCCCCTTCCCCATACCTGGCCCTATGCATCTCTTTCATCTGGCTGTTCCTGAGTTGTAGCCTCTTGCAATAAACCGGTGATCTAGTAAGCAAAATGTTTCTCTGAGTTCTGTGAGCCACTCTAGCACATTAATCAAACCCAAGGAGGGGATCATTGGAACCTCCAATCTATAGCCCCTAACCTGTGGAATCTGATGCTGTCTCCAGGTAGACAGTGTCAGAATTGATTTGAATCATAAAAATCCAGTTGGTGCCCAAGAATTTGTTGGTGTGGACCCCCGCCCCCCGGCAATGCACATTAGAATTGGGTGTTGAACCTCTTACAGCTGCAATCAGATGTACATCTCACACTGAAGTAATATATGATGCCCTTCACGATCCTTGTGTTTATAGTTTACCTGGAAGAGTCTACAGTAAAGTGAACGGTGGGAGATGAAGCCCCTAACTCACCCATACCTCAGCCAAGCAGAGCCCCAGGGCATCCTCCATCTGAACTATCCCCTTCTCTCTCTATTCCAGGTCTCAGTGTCCTGCTAGCTCTGTCAGGATTGGAAGCGGAGAGTTCTAGAGGTGAGTCTACAATTGTCAAAGGCAGGGGAAGGAAACTGGGGTCTGCAGCCTGCCTCCAGAGGAGGGAAGGAGTCCTTTCATTGGGAGAGAATATAAATCCCTGATGCCTCCTTCACACTCCTTGGAGCTCCCGAGGACTACCCCCTCCTTCTACACCATCACCATTGTCACCCCCCATGTATTTAGCTCTTGTATTGCACCAGGCTCAATACTAAGCAAATTGAATGCTCCAGCTCGTTCAATCCTCATGACATTCCTGCAGAGATGGTTCTGACATTATCCCTACTTGAGAAGTAACTGGCTCAAGGTCACACAGCTGGTGGATGTTGATCTCTGCCCTTTCTTTCCCAAAAGCCTGTGTCCCAAATCATTCTGGGAGATAGTGTTGCCTTTGCCCCATGTCTTGGGTTGGGTCCCCCAGAAGCAAATACTGAAATAAGAACTTGAAAGCAAATCATTTATCTGGAAGGGCATCCTAGGAAGCACCAGCTGGGAGTGGGAAGTCAGGTGGGAAGGCAAGGAGCCAATATAGGGTCCACTATCCACATGTGGGCAACTGAAGCTTGAGCACACAGGGACTGTTGGACATAGTAAGAAGCATGCACCTCAAAGTTATTTCCCCCAATTAAACATTAATTCCCTATCCACCCTACCCCAGCCTATGGCACCTTCCATTCTGTCTCTATGAATTTGACTCCTCTAGGAACTTCACATGAGTGGAACCATATAGCATTTGTTCTTTTGTGATGAGCTTATTTACTTATCGCAGCATCTCCAAGGTTCATCCATGTTGTAGCATGTGTTGGAATTTCTTTCTTTTTTTAAAAGCTGAATAATATTCTGTTGTGTGGATGGACCACATTTTGTTCATTCATTCATCTGTTAATGGACACTTGGGTGGCTTTCATCTTTTGGGTACTGTGAATAATGCCGTTATGAACATGGGTATACAAATATCTTTTTAAGACCCTGCTTTCAATTCTTATGGCTATCTACCCATGAATGGAATTGCAAGATCATATGGGAATTCTAATTTTAGAAACTGTCAAACTGTTTTCCATAAGAGTTACACTATTGTGCATTCTTACCAGCAATGCATTAGGGTTACAATTTTGCCACATCTTAGTCTTTGTTTATTTTTGATAATAAGATAACTGGGGTTTGAATGCACTGACTCTTGTCAGTCATTGATTGAGAGAGCTGCTAGGGGGGAGAGAAAGCTGCTACCTGTCATGTGGAGAGCAAAGAGGACTCTGGTGGCCAAAGAAAGCCCACAGGTAAAGAAACACAGGTGCTAGAGAAGTTCTACTGTCAAAAAAAGTGACGTTGGTGGCAGAGGTGGGACATGGTTTGGGATTTTGACCACAGAGTCCAGTAATCATAGGTGCTCAATGAATATTTCTTGAATAAATGAGTAAGCAAATGAATGAAAAGATCTTGTGTTCCCTGCAGCTTCCTGTCCCCCATGCCCTGAAAATGCCAGCTGCTTCAACAGCACCTACTGTGTTTGTAAAGATGGGTATCAGTCCATGTCTGGGAGGAGGTACTTCAATGAACCTTATGAGAAATGTGAAGGTAGGATGCAATCCACATTCATCTTGCAGTTTGGAATGGTCAGGGGCATCCTTCTGTGCCCCAAACCCTGGGTTATATAGGGATGCTAGTGCTGCAAAGATGCAAGAATATTACGAGATAGTCCCAAAGTCCTTAGAGAAGTCCCTACCCCTGTGCACCCTCCCCCTGTCATTCTAATGCTGGCTTGATGATCTTTGGTTTTTCTTTAGAGGAAGGTAGAGTTCCCAGGACCCTGGGCTCTTAAAGTCTCAAGCACTGGTGTTTGTGTCTGTTTGTTTGCCTGAGAACTTCACAAGGACAGGGATCATCTCTGTGTTGTTCATTGCTGTATGCCTAGGACAGAGAATAGTGTCACATAGCAGATGCTCAGTAAAAACACACAGACCAAGAGAACAAATAAATAAATCAACATATTGACACTCACTATCTACCATGACCTGGCCCCAATTTAGTTTTCCAGTTTCACTTCTCACTATGCCAGTATACTCCAGCCAAAATTCTTTTTAATTTCCACAACTTCTAAAGGTCAATTTGAATATCAAAGGAAAATAGCACTCCTGAACATCTTATTGGTGGAACTGTAGTGTCCATTCAGGGGGTGGAACATATAATGGTAGACTGCTTAGGATTTGTTTTATTTTATTGTGGCAAAATACACACAACATAAAATTTACTATTTTAACCGTTTTAGATGTATCTTCCAGTGGCATTAAGTACTCACATTGTTGTGCAGACACCACCACCATCATCCACAGAACTTTCTTATCTTTCCAAACTGAAACTCTGTCCCCATTAAACACTCACTCCCCTCCCTCTCCCCCGGTCCTTGGCACCCACCATCTACTTTTTGTTTCTGTTAACTTGTTTCCTCTTAGGGTACTCCTCTGAGTGGAGTCATACAATACTGGATATATCTATTTTTATTTTAACATGGTTTTAGACCTAAATAAAAATTGCAAAAACAGCACATTGAGTTCAGTATTTCCTGCACCCAGTTCCCCTGAGGTTAACCAAGGATATGACCACCGTATAGTGATCAAAACCACGGAATGATATTAATTAAACTCCAGACTTTTGTCAAGTTTCATCAGTTCTTCCCCTAATGTCTCCCTTTTTTTTCTGTTCCAAGAACCATTTGAGAATCCCACATTGCCTTTAATTGTCACGATCCTTAGTCTTGTCTAATCTGTGACAGATCCTCAGTCTTTCCTTGTTTTTTGCAACCATGACACTTTTGAAAGGACACCATAGATGCCCTTATGCCATAGATGCCCTTTTGCACTTCACTTTTTTTTTAAAAAAAACACCCATCTTTATTGATTTCAGAGAGAGGAAAGGAGAGGGGGAGAGAGAGATAGAAACATCAATGATGAGAGTCATTGATCGGCTGCCTCCTGCACGCCCCCAACTGAGGATCGAGCCTGCAACTGGGGCATGTGCCCTAACAGGGAATCAAACCCCGATCGCCTGGATCATAGGCCGATGCTCAACGGCTGAGCCACGCCCGGCTGGGCTGTACTTCGCTTTTTTAGCTTAAATGTATCCTAGAAATTACTCCAAATCAGTTCATAGAGATCTTCCCCATTTTCTTTTTTATGGCTTTGGGATGAACCATAGTTTATTCAACCCCCTCCTAAGTATGGGCATGTAAGTTGTTTCAGATATTTAGGCTGTCCTATGGACACGCTTATGGAAGTGTGTCTTTGGAATATAGTCCTAGAAGTGAGATGGCTGAGTCAAGAGGTAAATTCATATATAGCTTGATTAGATATTCCAAATTTAATTCCAGAGAGGCTGACCAATTTGCATTTCCACCAGCAATGCATGAGAGCACCCGTCTTCCCACTGTCTTGCCAGCAGAATGTGTTGTCCAGTGATTTGACATATGACTATTAACAGATTCTAAAACTCCATGTATATTTGAGTCTATTTCTGGATGTTTGGGCTCTTTCACTTGTCTATCTCTTTATATACCAGTATCTCATTGTTTTATTAAGACTTTGTAGTATGTTTTTATATCTTGGGAGGCTAGTCCCACCTTGTAGTTTTTCTGGCTACTCTTGCATGATAGTAGCAACTCATCTCACTCCATAAAATACTTGTAGATATTTTTTATTGAGATTGTATTGGATTTATAATTAACTTAAGGAGCCCAAGCCAGTTTGGCTCAGTGGTTAGAATGTGAATCTGGGGGGTATAAAGGGTCCTGGGTTCAATTCCAGCCAAGTGTATGTACCTCGGTTGCAGGCTCAATCCCTGGCCCCAGTTGGGGTGTGTGCGGGAGGCAACCAATCAATGTGTCTCTTCACATTGATGTTTCTCTCTCTCTCTCTCCCTCCCACTCTCTCTGAAAAGCAATGGAAAAATGTCCTCAGGTGAGAATTAAAAAAAAAAAGTAACTTAAGGAGAGCTATCTATCATCTTTATAATATGGAGTCATTTTATGTGAAAATAGATGTTCTGGGTACACTTATGAATGACATTGGGTAATAGAAATTCCAAGGGCAACATCAAATAGTATAATTTTATGAGAATGAAAAATGATATTTTTTCTTGATTCACAGACATCAATGAGTGTGAGACTGGGCTGGCAAAATGCAAGGAGGTATCATATTGCAGAAATGAAATCGGAAGTTACTACTGCAGCTGTGTCCCAAATTTTCATTTTGTCAACTGGTTGGCTAAATTTTTAAAGTTGAATCATTCAGATTGTTATGGTAAGAACCTCCAATTACTCTCCACCATGAACAAGGAGGGGCAAGGGAAGACTTTGAGAGTCCCACCAATGTCAGGCCAGGGTAAGAGAGCAGAGATCTGTCCTGGCCTTGTCTTTCACCCGTTGTTGTAATCTTTTCCCAGGAGATCTTATTTAAGCCCATGGTATCAATCACCACCTCTACATCACCGCCTTACAAATTTATGTCTCTTTCCCAGGTTTCCAAAATGATATCTCTAATATCCTTTGCACTGGACTTCTCTACTTGTTTCTCTCTCACTCATTTTATCTGTCTATATACTAAAATCCATGAGTTTACGCGGATAGCTCCAATCCCAGTCCAGCGCCAGGGCTTGACCTAGCCTTCCCTCTTTCCTTATTTGTAACCTTCTTCAACACTCAAAAACCTGGCTCTCACTACCCACAGCCTATTGACTTATTTGTTGATCCCTAGTATAATTCCATATTTTGAGTTAGGCAGACTGGATTTGGTTTCCGGCACTACTGCTTACGGCTGACTTTGGGGGAATAACTGACTCCTTTGTGCTGCATCTGTAAGTGGGAAGAACAGTAGTCACATCTACTGTACTAGTCATGTGTTGCTGAGTAACAACTAACCCCGATGTTAGCATCTTAAAACAACATATTTATTGGCTCACGGGTCTGTGCAGGGCAGGAGTCGAAGCGTGGCTTATCTTATACGCCTCTCACGATTACAATCAAAGTACTGGTCCAGGATGCAGTCTCCCCTGAAGGTTTGTCCGCTTCCAAGCTCACTCACATGACTGCTGGCCAGATTCCATTCTTTGAAAGCTGTTGGACTGAAGGTCTCACTCTCTTTCTGGAGATAAGAAGTCGCTCTGCATCCTTAGGTATATTGGCCTCTCTAGCTCACTTTATTATAACAAGCACATGAGAACAGCCAGGAAGAGAGTGTGAACAAAGCAGAAACCGTAGTCTTTTATAACCTAACATCAGAAGTGACATCTTTTCCCTTTCGCTATACTCTATTCATCAGAAATGAGTCGCTGAGTTGAGGCAAGGGGAGAAGTGAATTCACACGAAAGGGTATGAATAAAGGCATGTGAGGCGGAGATCACTGAGAGTCATTTCAGAAACCTTCTTACCTCACGCACTGGGTGAAATACCTTTCCCCAAATTTGTGTCCACTCGTGGAAACCGTGAATGTAATCTTATTTGGAAATAGGGTCTTTGCAGATACGATCAAATTAGGATGAGGTGATACTAGATTAGGGTGAGCCCTAAGTTCAGTATGATTGGTGTCCTTATAAGAAGAGGGAAATTTGGATTTAGGGACACACACAGGGACATGTAATGATAGAAGCATAGATTGGAGTTAGGCTGCCATAAACCAGGAGACAACAAGGATTGCTGGGAACTACCAGAAGCTAGAAGCAGCAAAGAGGGATATATCTTAAAACCTTCAGAGGGACCACGGCCCTGCTGACACCTTGATTTTGGAATTTTATCTTCCACAACCATGAAAGAATAAATTTCCATTATTTTAAGCCACCTAGTTTGTGGTACTTTGTTACAGCAGCCCTAGGAAATGAATACAGTTTATCTATGATTATTAAGGCTTGCAAAATATTTAGTGCATTGCTACGCACCTGGGCAGGCTCAACTAATATTAGCTATTATGCTACATAACTGTGTTCTAGAATCTTCTGAGTTCCTTTAAATGAGATAATGTGTATGATAGCACTTTATATACTGTGCTGTGTAGACAGTGGCAGGTATTATTATTGTTTCTATATTATTAATTCAATTAACACTCATTCCTTTGGGAAACATCTGCACCCCCGATATCCTCGGGCCTCTTCTGTATACTCCCAAGTCCTCTCCTTCTATTTGTTAACATCTTGAACCCTTGTAATCACTTAATTATTTGCCATTATTGGCTTAGTGACTCCTGGAAGCCTGCAAACTCTAGAAGGAAATTCCCTTAGTCTCTGTATCAACCTCTATCCATAAGGTTTAGCACTATGTCTGGCTTTTAGTAGTTGCTCAATAAATACTATTGACTTAATGATTGAACTGGAAGTCCCATCCTAATTCTCTTTTATTCTACTGTATTAGACATTTGGGACTTCTTAGAGGGGAATTAGGATATGATGTGGAAGCACCAGGGAAAGACCCAACTCGAGGGTGCTTGGAAGAAGGGATGTGAACCAGGGTGTGTTATCTCCCATAATTGATTAAATGGCTACTTTTCTTTCCCAGAGGGCACTGGTGAGAAGACACAATCATCAAAGAGTATTTGGGTGAGTAAGGTGAAGCTAAGTTTGGGAAATAGCTAATTAATCTTCCATGTCATTCTTCTGCTCAAATGCTACCACGGCTCCCTATGTCTTTTAGGATATGGCGGTTCTCACACAAGAGCGATTTTGTCCTCTGTCCCAGGGGACAATGTCTGGGGCAATGTCTGGGGACAGTTTTGGTTGGCATAACAATGGTGTTACTGGCATCTAGTGGGTGGAGACCAGGGATGTTGCTAAACATCTTATAATGCCCAGGACAGCCTCCCACAACCATTATACGGTCTCAAATGTCAATTGAGAAGATTGGGAAATTCTGGGAAAGGATTATATGCTCAGGTGCCATTCAAAGACGTGCATCAAGCATCTAGAGCCCCATTTCATCCCCTCACCACCTCCCATTTCCTATTTTCCTCCATAAGAAACTCTTTTGTAGGTTCCAGTTACCTCATTTTAAAGTCTTTGTGTTCTCATAAATACAAGGATACACTCTTCACAGGACTGTGAGTGATACATGAGAAAAGTCTTATCAGGTTGATAGCACAGAGCCTAGCAGCACCTTAATAAATGTTATTGTCTTCTGGGGTCAACCAGCCACACTTATGTACATTACTGCTTTTTAAACTTTATGTAAGTCTACCTAATTAGCTTTATTTCTTTGAAAGACAATTCCAAACAACAATGAAAGCAAAGAGTACATTGCCAAAAAGGCTACCGAACTACTTCAAATCGTAGAATTGACCATATGGAATGAGAGTGTTGCTTCTTCAGGAAAGCATGAAAATTCCGTTTTTGATATAGGTAAGAAACACTGAACATTTTCCTTATGACCAAAAGTTTATTGGGGGAGAGCTCTTTGGTCAGACTTTATGCTTATATGACATAGAGAGAATTCACTCAAGGGATCCTTCCCAAATGCAGAAAATCTGCTCCAAACACTATTTCCTTGGAAATCTTTTAGATGCTAAGCTTCTTTTGCTTAAAAAATTAAGTTTCCCCCTCACCAGGTACTCCAGTACACATTATTTGTTTTTGCCCCTTAAATATTCTATGGTAAATGCTGAGCTTGCCTGCCCCAGGTCCAGCTGTGGGAAACATGGCTATCTTCTCTCTCCTCCTGAGTTGGGTGGCCAGTGTGTGTTGCTCAGGCCATCTTGATGATTTCATCCCTACTGACCAGAGAAGTAGAAGGAAGTACCATCTGGTCTACCTTGCATGCAAAAAATGAAATCAGTAGTAGGGGGTCTTTCACAGAAGGGAGTTCTTCAGCAAGTTCCTTAGGCATGAGAAATGAGCAAAGTAAGACTTATTTTCTTAATGCTTCCAGTCTATGAAACCAAGAGGTGCAATGAGACAAGTGAGAAGGCTGTTCTGGAAGCTGGAAATAACACAATGGATATGCACTGCACTGATGTTTTCAAAGGGACCACAAGAGGTACTGTGTCTAAGATGGATTCTCTTGACCTTCAGATTCTACGCACTGCTGTTTCATTTCTAGGTGACTGGGCCAAGGTGTGGGGACGTACTATAGATCCCCCATAAAGTGATTTCTCTTCTGTTTTCTCAGAGAGTACAGTTGCACTTATCACTTACCAGTCTCTTGGAAATATTCTGAATGGATCCTTTTTCAATGATAGAAGAGGAACACTGGACATAAAATTGAACTCTCGTGTTGTGAGTGGCACCATTGGTGTTAAGGAAAAAGTTTATCTGTCTAAACCTGTGTTCCTGACCTTCAAACATACTCAGGTGAGCAAAATCCAGGGCTGGCTCTCTATGTATTACCTTAAATGGGTGTGTTATCAGGGTCGTGGCAGGTAACCAAATCCAACTCTTACTGATCCAGGGTTCAGAGAACCGACAATAAATATTGAGGCCTCCAGAGAAGGTATTATCACATTTAAGCCTAAAAAAAGCGATGGGAGGATGAGCATTAATGAGTCCAGTGAAAGCTGGAGGCATGGAGGAGGGATTGCCCTGCTGGAGATGGAGATTGCCTGGAACAATAGAAATATGGAAGTAATACTTGAGCTTCTTCTGCTCTCATCCTACAATCTCTCACCAGTTCCTCTCATTGATCCTACCAATGACAGGCAACCTGGGTAAAGCAGTTCATAAGGGTCAGTTCCTGGGGCTCTGAGATGACCAGAGCAGGGCACAATCAATGAGAATAAAGCCCACACAGGTGTGACATAAAACTCTTCCCCACACATGTTCCAGATGATGGGGCTTTCCCACCCAGTTTCCAATCCAGTGAATCCTTGACCAACCTATGAAGTTGAAATAGTAAATCCAGAAAGAGAGCCACTTTAATGCTATTCTCTTTCCAGCCTGGTGGTGTGAGAACAAAATATTTGTGTGTGTACTGGGAAGGATCAGAGGAGGGAGGCAGCTGGTCGACGGAGGGCTGCACTCATGTGAGCAGCAATGATTCTTACACCGAATGCAAGTGCTTTCACCTGTCCAGCTTTGCTGTCCTCATGGCTCTTGCTCCTAAGGTATGAAGATTCATGGTCCCCTCCTGTGAATCTTAGTGTGTCCAGGAAGCTGAGAGGTCATCTGCTCCATGTCTTAGAAAAAGACTCTTGAGAGGTTGTTCCAGGAAGCACCAGAAAGGGACTGGGGAAGTGAAGTGGGAAAAGGACAGAAACCATGCAGAGAACATTATCAAGCCAGTTACCACTGTGGGTAACTGGAGCTTACTTCCTTCTGAAGGACGTTGGAGGTCAGTATAGTTCATTCCAACTGAACATGAGAGAGCTGGGGCATTTATACACCACTTCCCTTCAGTTGTTAGTTGAAAGCTACATCCAGGGGACAATAATTCTCTAACACATCCATGGGTATGGCAGAGTGAGCTCAAGTTAGTAGAGGAAGCCCTCAGACATTGGGAAGTTGGGTTGTCAGTTCCTATAGTGGAAAGGTCCAAGGTGATCTGGGATCAAAAACATCTGTTCCTCTGCAAGAAAGAGTCACAGCTAAACATTCCTAGTCAGACCAGAAGAAGGCAACTGTCACCAATGAAAAAACAAAGCCCCCTGAACTTCCCAACAATATTTATGATAACTCAGGTTTAAAGAAACTTACCTAACTTCTTCCCCTATTTCTTTTTATCTCCCATTTGTTGAATATTTACTGTATGACAACCATTTTACTGCATAATTAATGCATGGCCTCACTTTATTCATTCAACAAGTTCATATATGAGTGCCTACTATATGTCAGATGCTGTTCTAGACACAGGAACAAGACAAACAAAGAAATCCTAACATTCATAGAAACTACTTCTGAGTGCTGTGTTTTCCAATAGGATCGCCAGCCACATGTGGCTACTGAGCATGTGAAATGTGGCTAGTGTGACTGAAAAACCAAATTTTAAATTTCATTTAATTTTAATTTATTTAAATTAAGAAGCAGTGCAGAGTTCCAGTCAAGATGGTGGAGTAGATGGAGGCTGTGTTCACCTCCTTCCATGAGCACATCAAAATTACAACTAAGTTATAGAACAATCAACCTGGAGAACCATCTAAAGACTAGCTGAACAGAAGTCCTATAACTAAGAATATAAAGAAGAAGCCACATCGAGACTGGTAGGAGGGGCAGAAATGTGAAATGGGCTGGCCCCAAACCCATTTCTGGTGGTTCAGAATCCATAGGGCTATCTCAGCTGCACATGTCCCCACTGAAGAGTGAGGGGTCTCAACCTAATGCCAGGCTTCCCAGCCCAGAGCACCAGTGCTGGGAAGATAGGCCCATGAAATATCAGGTTGTGAAAATCAGTGGGATTCTGTCCGTCTAGGTTAGACACACGGCTACTTAAAACCCAGGTCCTCTTAAAGGACCCACACACAAACTCTTGCTTACAAGCAGTCATCTTGGGCTCTGAAAAAAGGACAGTGGCTTGGGGGCTACCAGTGACATACAGGGAGAAACTGAGTTACGTGGCTTCAGGGTGATGACTGGAGGGATGGCAGCCATTGTCCCTGTATTGAGCCTACCACAACACATCCAAACCTGAATGCATTAGCCCGGAGAGTTCCACTAGCACCACCCTGGTGACTCCCTGTGACACTGCCTCACCCAACTCAAGTACTGCCTAAGGCTCTTTCAGTGGCTGAGGCTTATGGGCAGTCAACAGGTGGCAGTGGGTCTTGGGGTACTTTGTGCCTTTTGATGACCTGCCCAGGTCTGGTACCGGTGGAAGCTAGCCTCGGTTCTCAGTGTGGTCTCTTACACGAGCATACAGGCTTAGCACAGGTGTCTACCAACTACAATCACTTTGTAACTCCTAACAGTAAGCCCTAGGCTGTTCATAGGCAGCATCTGACATTGGCCTGCACCAGAACCCCTCCCAAAAGGCCCCAGAACCAGCACACCTGGTGGCCAGCTTCAGACCACAACAGAGCACCACCCAATTAGCTCCACAAGTAGCCACCCCCAAAGGTTGTCTTGGCAGGCACCAGACCCTGCTGGGGCATATCCTACTCCATGGAGCCAGCCCCCAGAGAGCAGCTCATATACTGTGGTCATGGCCAATCCTCACAGCCAGTGAGCCTGAAAGTCAATCCATCCACTGACATTTCAACAACAATCAAGGCTCAACTATAACAGGAGGGCACACACTCCACATAAGGGACCCTCCTGGAATACCTGGCTCAGGTGAACAGAGAAACTGCACCACTGGGCCCCACAGGACACCTACTATGTAAGGCCGTTCAGCCAAGACTGGGAGATGTAGCGGATCTAATACATAGAAGCAAACTCAGAGAGGCAGTCAAAAGGAGAAGACAAAAAACATGAAAGAAAAGGAAAAATTTCCAGAAAAAGAATTAAATAAAATTGAGGCAAGCAATCTATCAAACAGAGTTCAAGACATTGGTTATAAAGGTGGTCAAGAAACTTAGTGAGCACTTCCACGAAGAGATAGTAAACATAAAAATGGAAGTAGAAACTATAAAAAAGAACTAGTCAGAAATAAAGACTATAATAACTGAAATAAAAAAAAAATAGACCAGAAGGAATCAACAGTAGATTAGATGAAACAGAGGGCTGAATCAACACTTTGGAAGACAAGGTAGCAGAAAACACCTAATTGGAACAGCAAAAGGAAAAAATAATAAAAAATATGAGTATAGTTTAAGGGACTATACTGGGATGATATCAGCGCAACAAGACTTGCATCATAGAGGTACCAGAAGGAGAAAAAAGAAAGGAAGGGATTGAGGACCTAGTTGAAGACATAATGATTGAAAACTTCCCTAACTGGCAAAGGAAACAGACATACAAGTCCAGGAAGTACGGAGAGTTCCAAACAAGATGAACTCAAAGCAGCCTACACCAAGACATATCAAAATTTAAATGGCAAATGTTAAAATAAAAGAGAAAATCTTAAAAGAAGCAAGAGAAAAGCAATTAGTTACCTACAAAGGAGGCCCCATAAGAATGTCAACTGATTTCTCAACAGAAAATTTTCAGGCCAGATGGGACTGGCTTGAAATATTCAATGGGTAATTCTCCACAGAAGACATGCAGATGGCCAAGAGACATATGAAAAGATGCTTAACATCACAAATCACCAGAGAAATGCACAGTAAAACCACAATGAGATACCACCTCACACCTGTGAGGATGGCTATCATCCATAAATCAACAAACAGCAAGTGGGATTCCAATTTCTGCCAGCACTTGCTGTTTGTTGGTGGGATTGTGGTTGGTGCAGCCATTATGGAAAACAGTATGGAAGTTCCTCAAAATAATTAAAAATAGAACTACCTTATGACTCAGCAATTCTACTTCTGGGTATATAGCCAAATATATCCAAAACACTAATTCAAAAAGATATATGCATCCTTATATTCACTGCAGCATTATTTACAGTAGCCAAGATATGGATGCAACCTAAGTGCCCATCAATAGATGACTGTATAAAGAAGATATGGTACATATATACAACGGAATATTATTCGGCCATAAAATAGAATGAAATTTTACCATTTGTGACAACAAGGATGGACCTAGAGGGCATTATGCTAAGTGAAATAAGTCAGATAGAGAAAGACAAATACCATGTGATTTCACTTACATGCAAAAATCTAAAGAACAAAATTAATGACCAAACAAAACAGAAACAGACTCATAGATAGAACAGACTGAGAGTTGCCAGATGGGAGGGGGATTGGAGGTTGGATGAAAAAGGTGAAGGGATTAAGTATAAATTGGCAGTTACAAAATAGTTAATGGGGATATATAGTATAGGGAATATAGTAAATAATATTTTAATAACTATGTATGGTTCCAGGTGGGTAGTAGAATTATTGTGGGGTGGGAGGGCTACTTCATAAGTTAAAAAAAGTCTATGGTGTACACCTGAAGCTAATATAAAATAATATTGAATGTCAATTGTAATTGAAATTTTAAAAAAAGCAGCAGTGTAAAATACTTTTCCATTAAACTCAACTTTATTTTGTGGTAGGACTACATTTCACTTTCAGCACTGAAAACAGCACCTGAGTTGAGATGTGCTGTAAGTGCAAAATAGACACTGGATTTCAAAGGCTTAACTTTGGAAAAAAGAATATCAAACATCTCATTCATAATTATTTTACACTGATTGAAGTTTGAACTGGTTATATTTTGCTATATTGTCATACCAGTCTAGTGGTTTTGGTTTTTCAATAGCCCTGTGTGGTAAATGCTCCTATTTTGAAGTCGGGAAAAAGTGAGTCTCAGAGAGGCTCACTCACTCATCTGAGTGCTTCAACTAGAAAGCGCACCTGGCTCTCCATCAGGAACCTAACTGCAGAGTCGGAAACTATAATGGGTCCCTCTTCTGGTGGCTCATAGGCGGATCCCACTCTGGCTGTGATCACCTACGTGGGACTGAGCCTCTCTCTGCTGTGTCTCCTCCTGGCAGCCGTCACCTTCCTCGGGTGCCGACCCATCCAGAACACCAGCACCTCCCTCCACCTGCAGCTCTGCATCTGCCTCTTCCTGGCCCACCTGCTCTTCCTCACTGGGATTGATCAAACTGAGCCCGAGGTAGGCAATTTAACCAAAGTCCCTTGTTATCATAATCAAATCTATCATCTCATGTTGAGGAAAGATGGGGAGAGGGGCAATCATTACCTGGGGGAAAATGCAAGGGTCCCCATTTCAGCTCTCCTCTAATTTTGACAAGACCCATGTATTCTTTTTTTAAAAGATTGTTGACAGCATTACAGATGCCCCTAAA